ACATTTTAATAAATAAAGGATTAAAAGAATTTTTTTAAAAAAAAAAGATAAAGGAAAATATAATTTAGTTTTTAATTTATATTCAAAGATTATGTTAACAAACATAATCCTAATATTTGATCAATTTTTATTTGTTGATAAATGAAAACATCAATATAATTTTTTGTAACTAAAATAAATATTTGCATTTATTCTCTTCAGTTTAAACTTAAATTGAGAGTATATAAATTCAATCTTTCACAATGTACTCCACTTTTATTTATTTATTTCCTTTTTTTTTTTCTTCTTATATGGTTCACCGATCATGATATATATATTTTTTTGGTTAAAGAAGAATTGAAAAACACATTCTCATTGAATGACATGACAGATTTTTGCAGATAATGAGAATCAAGCACAAGCTTTTACACAAAGTAAGTGTTTCGATACTTATCAAGTGAACAGAACCAATAGGGTTTGGGTATAGAATATATTGTCTAAGAGGGTACTGGTACAGTTATAATTATAATTTTATTTTATATTTTATATTAATAATTTATTTAAATAATATTTATGATATTTTATTCTTTTAATTTTAAATTATTTAGTCATTTTATTTTTATTTTATATATTCTAATTTTATTTGTAATAATATTATTATATATTTAAATAGTTTAATTTTAATAATTTTTTAAGTATACTTTTGTCTTTTCACTTAAAATATTTGAATTTCTATATTTTAATTTGAATTATTTTTTAAGTATATTTTTGTCTTTTTGTCTTAAATTTTTGAATTTCTATATTTTAATTTTAATAATTTTTTATTTCTATTATTTATTAATTCTTTTCTTTTTTAATGTTTTATAACATTATTAAAATTTTATAATTTTAATCTCTATAATTTTATCTTACTTTTTATTTTATAAATATAATTTAAATTATTTATTTTATAATTAAATTAATTTTTTTAAAATTTTTTTATGAATTTACATAAAAAAAAATGTATTGAAATTTCTCGATCTTTGAAGTTACCGTAGCAACTCCCTTATCATATTGGTGTTTTCATTTCATGGAGTGGTCACCGAAATCGTATTATGGATCGAGTATCAACCCACCACAACAGAAGGAATAATAATACAAGATAAAATGGAAGAGAAAGTCTTTGTATTGTATTATTAGGAATGTGAATTGTTCGAAGGCGTTTTAGACATAATGATTAAAATCCACTATAAAACACAAGTCTATTCACTTTATTTACCTTTGATTCATCCTATACATGCCAGGTATCTAGATTTCCAACGTGTATGAGGATAAAGAAAAGTGTGTAATAATTTTCCTTTTATCGCACGCGTATAGCCACCAAGCTTCCACTTCGTTAATACGTTGAGAATAGGATTGGGATGTGACTTTGGTTTGCATTGCATGATGTATCGATATATATACTTCATCAAATTCATCATATCCTTCAATCCATATTATCTTACTAAGCTAAATTTGTTGCCCGAGATCGATCAACCAATATTTTTTTAAAAGTATTTTTGAGAATTTTTTTTACTAAAAAATATTATTTATTTTTTAATAAATTTTAATTTTGATCTCTAGAAAAAAATTTATTTAATTTTCATCTTTTAAAATTTAAATTCACTATTTTTAGCTCCTAACAATTATTTTAAGGTAAATAAACAACATTCTTATATGTGTTAGAATAATATTTAGTCAAAAGATATCACATCTCATAAATATAGATTAGTTTTTGATTGTGAGTTTTGAAATACTGTGTAATGTGGATTATGTTCATGAAAAAAATAAATAAATAAATCCATTTTAAAGATTTATAAAAAATTTTAGAAGTATCACACACTGATATATATCTTTAATAATTATAAATAACAAATAAGATAGTCACTTAATTTTTTAATAAATAAAAAATAACTAAAAATAACAACATAAAAAATAGAGACTAAAATTTTAATTTTAAAAATAAAAAAGAAATTAGAGATCAAAATTAAAATATGCTAATTTTGTAGAAAAAAAATATATTTAAGTAAATTATATATTAACCGTGAATATCCAATTTGTTCAACCAAAACAAAATTGAAAATATTTAAAAATAAATAAAATAAATAAACCCTGTGGGTACATGAACTTCTCAAAAATTGCTTTGGATCAAGAATAATTATTGAAAGGAGACATGGGATCTTCATAATTCAGTGTTTTTTTTTAAATGAATACCACAGTATTTATAAGTAATAAATGAATAATAATTTTGTCAATTTATGTTATTATTTGGATCAATAGACTTTAATTTTGAATTACCTATCAGGTAATATGGTCTTTAACCAAGGGTTAACCTTCTAACCTTGCTCTCTTATTAGTAATATAATTTAAATTGCATTAACTCAGGGTCTTTATATGAGAGAAGTTTTGACAACCTGAGTGTTGAGTTAGTTTATTGAATATTAGAGTTAGACCAGAGAATTTATGGTATCTAAAGAAGACATGCACTGTGGTCTTTTCTAGTATAGGTTTTCTCCGATATGCATGCCCAAAGATCATAGTCTTTGAGCGTCACGAATGCATGTGTCCAAACAGATATATTTTTGGTCGTCTCCAATATAAAAATCAAATCTTTATAATATAAAAAAAGTATGTTCATATTTTTATTAAATATATGTAGAAGGCATCCACAGTTTAAAATTCTTTTTTTTATATTTTTATAATGTCATTTAATCATATGTATGGTAAAGTTATTAATATTTGTAATAATTACATTAAAACTATATTCAATATTTTTAGTTGATTAATAACTAAAAACTCATAAAAAGATCATTCTTTAATTTCAAATTTTTTCAACAATTCAACAACAAAAATCAACCCAACATAAAATTAATAAAATCAACAACATACAGTATTACATTCATAATGTAAAACTTTAATTTTTATAACATAACCACACTTGAAGTATTTATGAAATGGATGGAAATCATGCGTCTCCAATCCCTTCTTCTATGAAGGGTGAACTAAAGTAAAAGTTGAAAAATACTTTTTTACTTAAATGAAAGACTTATATATTAGATTTCTTTTTTACCAATATATATGATTTTTTTACCAATAAATACAAACCTTAAACGGAAACTTTGTTGTATTATCTTTAGACCAATAATGTTTCTCTGTCCCTCTAATTATATACACTCTAAATATATTTATATATATATATATATATATATATATATATATATATCATTTTTAATTGATGTGACATATCATTACAAGATAAAGGAGACATAATTTGGAGACACGTACGTGATTCAATTTCATGAATCTGTATGTAACTTTTGTTGAAAATTAAAAGTAAATATTGCAGATAAGAATATTTGTGGTACAAATGTTAATCGCAGATTCACGCATGCTATGACCACTGATGTTCCAAGAAAATTTGTAAAGTGGTGATGATGTATGTGATAGTTAAATCTATGAAATTACATTTTGTTTCGAAGTGTCAGTACTTAATCACGAAAAAGGAGAGTTAACCTAACGATAAATAATTGAACACATCTAATCTTACATTAACCTCAAACTCAAATCAGATGTAATTAAACTGTTTGTTGACCTTACCTCAAAAGAGAAAAACAATGCCAATGGACTCAAAGGAGTGTCATAAAAAGGGTTGTGTCACGTTTTAAAACTTTGACACTTTAGTCTTGTGATTTGAAGTGAATTTTATTTTATTTTTAAGTGAACACATAATTTTTCACTTATCATTGAGTTGGTAAGATTATTATCAACAACAAAGTTCTCATTTTACACAATTATATATTTAAAACTCATATTTAAGATTAAACTAAACAAAAATAATATCGTACACAATTGATTTATATGTTGAATGGAATAATTTACGTGGATGATCCCACAAAAGCTGACGTCATAAAATAATGGGATAAGTTGGAGGTTGGAAGTTGGAAGAGATAAGGAGACAAGGGCCAGGGGGTGGGACTGGACATAACATAAGTCACAACAAGCAAATGAAGCAATTGAGTGTGATTAGACATGGATTGCACGCGTGTGTAGACATAAAAATCAACCACACATTTTCCCTATCATTGGCATTTGGTTGAGTTCCCTCATTCTCCATTTGAGAGATTCTTAGGTCAGATAGGTACTTCATAGGACAATTTTTATATATGTAATAACTTTGTATCATCATTCAATGTACATTATGTTAGCCATTGTTGTTCTTCACTTTAATCATGCTTTTACTATGTAAGAATATATCTAGTAAGCACATGTTACATAGTAAACTTGACAAGGGTTAAGTTTAACCAACTGAGACTGTAGTATAGTAATTTAGATTCACTCACTTAATGATTTCCTCAAAGAATGAGAGAAGTCGAAACATGTGTTTACTGGATATAAAGTTTATTTGAATATAAATTAGAAATATTCTTGAGATTTTTTTTATCAAAAAAGAACTTTTTATTTTCAATATAAATTAAACTTCCAAAATTTTCTAAACTTATGTTCATACAAACTCATTTTAATTTTATAATGAAAAGCATAGAAGTGGTAGTGGTTTGGCTTGAGTTTACGAGTAGCATGAAAAATTATTAGCTGCATGATACGAAGTTGTAGACTCAAATGATAAGATTGTTTTCCTTGATGAAGACTTCATCAATCACTTGCATGGATGCACATGAAAGGTTTTCTGATAAAGAAGCTCTTTGCCTTGTTTACAATTACGTGGATTAGATATTGGGCTAGAAGTCCTATACCCATCAGGGTTTGCACATGTATAGGAATTATGGGTATTAAAGATCTATTTCACCCTGGTTCTCTTTAATCTATTATGATTCATTTGATATTACTATAAACTAGGAACTAAGGTATTTTACTGGAGAATGGAGACACAACAAATACAACACAAGCAAATACTTGTTAATGTCAAGACTGGTAGCCCTTAGTTTCCTTTGAGACCAGTCTGTCAAAAGCTATGGTTGTACTTCTATCATAAAAAATACACCAAATAACTTCAGAATCATATAAATACCATTTTAAATAACACTCCAATCCAAAATGTATGATTGAGCAAACCATAGCCCTCTAACATATGTTATAGTTCAAAATGCTAAACACTTGAGAAGTTTGACAGAACACAGCAGAAACAAAGACTAGAGCAGGAATTCATTGACGTCAAAATCATGACAACTCTCATCTTCCATGTAGCTTTCATCTCCATCCATGACATCATCTGTTGCATTACTTGCACCGTCTTCGAAATTAACATCTGCTTCATCATCATCAGGAATATGTAGGTCATCTATATAAGCACCATCACAGTTCGCATCTACCCCAACTTGACCTTTAAGCTTATCATCTTCATTTGGAAAATAGAAGCATAATTCATCCAACTCTGACTCTTCATCATCGAATGAACTTCCATCAATCTCTGTAATCCACTCATCATCAGAAGAGAGATCGTCCATGCTATATTCAATGGCTTTTCCAGCTTGGTGCCTTTCGGCTAATTTTGAATTAGACATCACTAGCATTACATCATTCAATGTCTTTTGTTTCAAACGATTTCTTTTCTTCAAGTGTACCTAAACAAATGAAAAACTAAATAAATAAATTGCTAAATAGGTAACTTAGCTTTAAAAAGTGAAACAAGTAAATTTTACTCTATCGAAGGCTTTTCGGTTATCCTCACACCCAAAACAATAGGTAGTCAAACTCAGCACTCGTATAGCAAAATGTTGAAGCTCAGAATATTCAAAACCATAAGAATCCCACCAATCAGCTGGATTTTTGGTTTTAATTGCACGCTTGGCTAAATCATGACCAAAATAGTTTTTTGCATGCTTGAAATCTTCAAGCATAGGTTCAACCTTAGACCAGTCTTGCTTTGCTACCATCTTGCATAAACTCCCGTACAGCCCAAGTTTAACATCAAAATCTTCTTTGAAATTAGTACTATAATGAAACTGCGGGTTAAGATAATAAGCTGTAGCATGCAAAGGCCCAAGAATGTTTCTGTCCCATCTTCCATCTATGATTGCCCATAGAGGCATATAACTAAAAAAAACCACTTATCAGCATTAGTTTATAAACAAAGAACATATATATACCAAGGTACCAATCAAATTCATATTGATAGTGAATTAGAGAACAACAAAAGTTTACCGTTTCTTCACACATTTAAAGGCTTGTTGAATCTTCTCTTTAGCTTGCTTCATTTCATCATAAATGAAACCTATGGCTGGTTTTGTGTTTGAATTTGAACTCACCATTTGAAGCACCTTGATCAGAGGATTAGCACCTTTCAAGCAAACCAGAATATTTTTCCAAAATTTGTCATCCATAACAACACTTTTAGCCAGTTTCCCACATGTTGTTCCAGCAAAGAAACTGCATTTCCATTGTTTGGATGAGAACATATTCACCAATGCTCCCTTGTTCTCATAGAGACACTTTAAAGTTAGATAACATGTGGCAAATTTAGTCACCCCTGGTTTAACCAAATCCTTTCCCTTAGTAAAGTGATGCAGCAAACCAATCAGAGCACTCCTTGAATATATGTAAGATGTGATTCTCCTCCCATTTGCAACTGTGTCTCCATGGATCCTCAACTTCATCACAAAATCCTCCAACATCAAATTAATGCTGTCAATAACACAAGGCATCCAAAAAAGTCTCTTCCTTTTCCCCACCAACATTTTCCCAGCAGCTTTATAGTTAGAATCATTCCTAGTAACAACTTGAACAACATTTTCTTCACCAACTTCCTCCACAATGTCATCCATCATTTTTAAAATGCCATCAACAGTTTTGCATATTTCAGATGCATTAACAGATTTAAGAAAAACAGTACCTTCGGGGCTGTTAACATAGAAGTTGCAAATAGTGACCCCATTGGTATTAGTCCAATCATCAATCAAGATAGAGCACCCTGTTCTCTTCCATGTAGCTTTATGCCCCTCCATTGATTCCTTGATCTCAGCCACTTGTTGCTTCAAATACTTCCCTTTGAGATCATGATAAGAGGGTGGCTTGAACCCAGGGGCAATGTAGTTCCACATTCCCTGAAAAGGATCACTTTTTGCAACATTCAAGGGAATGGCATTGATGTAGAAAAACCTAGCAATTTGCTTACACGCTTCCTCCCTCAAATCCACGTTGGTGCTGGATTCAATGCTCTTGCTTCTTCTCTTCACAGCGCTCTCCAATTCCTTCCCTTTTCTTTTTGCCATTTTGAAAGAAAGCGAAAAACGTAACAAGATTCGCAGTTTCGCACCAACAAGGGTCAAGAAGTTAGGGTTCTCGTCTGGATGAAATTTAGGTTACAAATGAGCGAAAGTGAGTAATATAATGGGATTTCGATTTGGGCTCTAAAAATGGGCCTTTCCATTTACCAATTGAAATCGCGCTTTGAATGCTTGATGCAGAATCGCAAGGATCGTACGATTCCACGAGCTAAATCGCAGGATCGTACGATTCTACGATCAGAGATTGCGATTTTGACAACATTTTGGAACAACGTTTGAAGAGATTGTTGCAGTAGCTGGTGATGGCGCCAATGATGTTGTTGCAATCGATGAAGCAGAGACTGATCTAGAGGTGCCAACACAAGTACGCATTTATCTGAAAATTTGAAAAACTTGAATTTTCTTTTAGACATTCTCTGTTTGGTTTCTATTTTTATCATGGGAATGTAAACAGCTGCATTTATTGGTTGTTTCCAAATTCAGTTAACAGATATTGTGAGAGTAATTAATATCTTAGTAAGAGCTTATGATATCTATAAGTTGGGAAATGACAGCATTTAGTTAGTGTAGATTACAATTGTTGTTCTAGGAAATAATCCCCTTACTTTATTGAGCCATCAGCCATGGAACCTCCTAAATCCTAATGTAGAATTGATGATATGAACATGTATTCATTGGAAAGGAAACTTTATCGTTAGTGTAATGTGAACTCTGGAGGAATATCTTGGGTAGTGTATGGATCAAGTTTTCATAACCTGGTTCCTCAATACAACATTACATTTACAACATCATCTTCATAGCTTGGAATCTGATTCCCACTCATTTGTGTTTTCTTACAACATTGGATTGAGTCTTTTGTTAGGTCTTGCAACTAAAATGACAGAAGCTACTTGGATAGAAGTTACATGCATTTATTTCTTTTAACCTTGTTATTAAACACACAGCTGAGGAAAAATTAAACTTATATGCAGATCCGTCTGTTAGTTGCTAAATGTTCTGTGGATAGCACTGCATGTTCAGAATACACAAGTTTGGTTTTCTTTTGTTTCCTTCATCCCAAGTTGATTAATCAGAACTCTGACTTTTTTTTTCTATTTGTCAATAATAAAATGTTAATTCAGGACCCAACAAAAAGCTCTATAGTCTAAACAAGAAAAAAGGAAATTTTGACTATACTTATGGTTCTAACCTTGATCCAATTAAGTTTTTCTTTTGGTTAACATGTCTTTAGATTCTTTATAACGTTGTCTGGATATGATGTTTATTAATTTTACTGCCATACAAATGTCTTGTTTAGTTTTTTTATTCAGATCATATATAGGGAAACATTGGCTTCGAAGTTATACTGAAGGAAACACTTACTACTCTGGTGAACATCCAATTATGTTTTTATTCCTTTTGGTCATGCACCAATTAATATCCCTCCTATTATCGTGTGAAACTATAGAAAAAAGGTAACTGATAAGCACCACCTTTAAAACCATGTATTCTTCACACATGTCAGTTCAACGTGTGTTTTGTTGCGCTTATGAGATCCATATTTAGCGATAAAATCACGTTATTGATAGAGAAGTTATTTTTTATAGCTTCACTTTGGATGTTGAAAATCACTTCATAATATTAAACGTGTTCTAAAATTTTTAAAAATTCAAAATTTGATTTTCTCTAACCTTCTTTATTATCACTAGAATAAAAAGAAACATTTTGTGTCTTTTTATTTAAAAGAAGAGAAAAAATAATGAATGATTATTTATTTAAAGTGTGAGAAGTTTAAAAATTGTTAAATGTCACAATCAAGTAAAAATTGTCATCTCTTGCTAGGTTGCTAGACATGGTAGCAGAAGTAACAAGAGAGCTATGTTATATCAATGGGCCTGGATCAAATACGAGAAGGAGTAGGAAAATGTACATTCTTTTTTTTTCCCCAATTTTCTCCATGGATAATCTTTGAATTACATCTTTCTGTACAAGGAAAAAAAAAAAAAGAGGCCAAATTTGGTCAAGATTAATATCCCTGCCATCTACATTATTCTCTTTTAGTGGCAGGAGATATTCTCACATGCTTAAAATGTAAGACTAATTCTTGCTTGAGAATAAAATTACTCGTCTCAACATGATATTATAGAGACAAATACCTATGCGCTAGCCAAGCTTGCTTTTAATAACTACATGTGGTCCAATCTTAGACTAATCTAAACATAAATCATTGAATGAAGATAAAAAATATTAGTACTCAAATTCAAAATATAGTTGCATCGATGAATTAAACATACTCAACCGTTAATAAAAATGAGTTTATTCACAGAAAATATGAAGCATTTTTATATTGTGAATTAATCAAAATTATTATAGACTTTTATACAATAAATATTTTGTGTTTCTGTATATTTTGTTTAAAAATTAAATTAAATTAAATAATTAAAAGTAATTGAAGTTAAATACATAAAAATAATTTTCGGTAGATGTGAGTGGTTTTAGGTAATTAATTAGAGAGTGTAAAAAAAATTAAATAAAAAAATGCTCTAAATGTGTTTTTGGTAAGACATTTCAAGAGCTCATAAACTCCTTTGTCTAACTTATAAGCTAGTGCAACAAAGATAAACGTATTTGGTATGAAAGTTTATGAGTTTATTTTAAGTAATTTTGTAACTTATTTTCATAAGCTAATTGAAGTAGCTTATGAATGTATTTGATAAAACATTTCAAAAACTTATAAGCTCTTTTAACTAGCTTATAAGAAAGTTTGGCCAAAATAAGTTTGTTACAAAAGTTTATACAAGCTTATTTTATGAGTTTATAGTTTACTTTCATAAACCAATTGTAGTAGTTTATATCTTATAAGCTTTTACTTTTTTTTTTCATTTTTTTATCTTCATTAATTTACTTAAAATTTTTTTTTACCCTTTTAATCTATAAATTATTTTGTCTATCCTATTATTCTCACCCTCATTATAAAAAATAGTTTATGTCATTTTACATTTGTCAACTAACATATTAGCCAATGTATTAACCAAGATCGAAGCTCAGCTAACCTGGCCTTATAGTTATAAGATCGACATGACCCAAGATACAATATGATGAAACTAGCGGAGGAAAAGATTGATATATCTTCTCAACTAGTTTCATTGATACTTCAATCTTCATTCATGAAACTCTAAGCTTGGAAGCAAAGCAAAAATAGTGGACAAGACAAGATAGTACGCCACTTCACAATGAAGATAAGAAAGAGTTGAAGAATTTGTCACAAGGAGGAATTTCTTGATAAACATTCATAAGGAGTAAATTCTCCAAAGAGAGAATTTAGAGCTTTTGACAGAAAAATTTGAACTCAATTTCTATTACCACTCAAAACTCGGGAGTTTAGCATTGACTTGGTTCCAGGAGCGGGGCCAGTGTCGGTGGCTCCCTATAGGATGGCTCCTGCTGAGTTGGTTGAGTTGAAGGGTCAGTTGGAAGACCTATTGGAGAAGCAGTTGGTGCGGCCGAGCGTTTCGCCGTGGGGTGCCCCTGTGTTGTTGGTGAAGAAGAAGGACGGAGGTAGTCGACTTTGTGTAGATTACCGGCAGTTGAACAAGTTGACCATCAAGAACAAATATCCACTCCCTCGGATTGATGACTTGATGGATCAACTGAGAGGAGCATCGGTGTTTTCAAAGATTGACTTGAGGTCGGGCTATCACCAGATCAGGGTGAAGGAGGGTGACATACCGAAGACTGCTTCAGGACTAGGTATGGTCACTATGAGTATGTCGTGATGTCGTTTGGTGTGACCAACGCCCCTGCAGTGTTCATGGATTACATGAACAGGATCTTCCGGCCGTTCTTAGATAAATTCGTGGTGGTATTCATTGATGATATCTTGGTTTATTCAAGGACCCAGGAAGAACATGGAGAGCACTTAAGGTCGGTGCTGGAGATTATGAAGGCGAAGCAGTTGTATGCCAAGCCTTCTAAATGTGAGTTGTGGTTGGATGATGTGAAGTTCTTGGGCCACGTGATTTCAGCTGAGGGGATTGCTGTTGATCCGGCTAAGGTGGAGTCGGTGTTGAAATGGGAGCGCCCGAGGACTGTCACTGATATACGGCGTTTCGTGGGTCTGGCGGGTTATTATCGACGGTTTATTGAGGGATTCTCCAGGATAGTAGCGCCTCTGACCCAGCTGACGAGGAAGGAGTAGCCGTTCATTTGGACAGATGCTTGTGAACGGAGTTTTGAGGAGTTGAAGAGGAGGTTGACTACTTATCCTGTGTTGGTGTTGCCGGATTCTGGTGAACCCTTTGATGTGTACTGTGATGCCTCTCACCAGGGTCTTGGGTGTGTGCTGATGCAACACAGGAAAGTGGTGGCGTATGCTTCAAGGCAACTGAAGAACCATGAGAGGAATTATCCCACTCATGACTTGGAGTTGGCAGCTGTTGTTTTTGCCTTGAAGATATGGCGACATTATCTGTATGGTGCTCAGTTCAGTGTCTTCAGTGATCACAAAAGTTTGAAATATCTGTTCGATCAGAAGGAGCTGAACATGAGGCAGAGGAGGTGGATGGAATTTCTGAAGGACTATGACTTCCAGTTGATGTATCATCCTGGTAAGGCCAATGTTGTGGCGGATGCGCTGAG